CCGATGAGAAGCTAAGCTCTCGCTGTCAGCCTCTCGCCAGAACCTTCTCCGCGACCTGCTCTTCGCTGCCGCTGCCTCCTCCTCCTCCTCTTCCTCCTCCGCCGCCGCCGCCGCTTCCTCCGCCTCTCTCCGCTCCTCCGCAGCTCCCGCCCAGCTGAAGGTTTTTAACCGGATGTACCGGGCCTTTTCGCTCGCGAAAGCCCCGCGATGGTCGTCGTGGCTCCGTCGTCGCTATCGCACAGCCTCTCGCACGTAGCGGCAATCGGGCTCGGAAGCGCATTAAAAACCCCTCGTCTAACACATCTGGCCTCTCTTCCACATCACCGTCCCTCACTGCTCGGCAGTTGGTTTCCGACTGAGCTCGACAAGATGGCCGGCTCCTGCTTACTAACACTCCGCCACCCGTCTCACCGCCCACCGCGGACCGCGGATAGTGTCGATCCTCTCTCTCTCTCCCTCTCTCCCCCTCTCTCTCTCTCTCTCTCGCCACCATCCGCCGGCGAATCACGAGGCTCCGTCGACGCCCTGCGAGTCACGTAGGCAACGTGGTTCTCAGACAACGGCTCCGCCGCAGGATGACGCAAACCGCGAGGTTTCTTGGCGAGAGGCCCGCGACGCAACTTCTTCGCGAATATTTCTTCCGAAATCACGAAAGAATACGGTGACATTTCACGGTACCGCCGCGTACGTCACGTAAGGATCGCACGACTTTTTTTTATTTTTTTTTTCTAGCCTGACGAACGCCGCCAGAGCAGCTGCTCGCGACTGTTTTGCGCGTTACTTCTTTTTCATTTCCCCTCCTCTCCGTTTCGGTGACGTTCGCCTCGGCGACGAGTAGCTTGGAATACGATTAGATATTTATGTTTTATTTCTGAGCCTTTCCAATGTTTATTTATTACGGTGTTTATGTATTCTTAGTTTTCCATTTTCTTAATTTATTCTCTATTGTAATTTATTAATTGGTTGAGAAAGACTGAGTTTAGTCGAAACGTTCGGAGCAATCGGTGAAACTGTTTTGCTCTAATTGGAGCAAAAGTAATCGTCAATCGCTAATCGCGCGATAGCTAGTGTGATTACGGCTTTACATTGACTATTATTGTTGAAAAACTAGTTTTAATCCTTTCTTCCTTTGATTTTCATGTAATAAACTAGATTTTGTTTGTTAACCTAATTATTAGCTCGTTTCTGACCTCTCGTTATATTGCTTACGAATTTTGAACTTTAAAATTGATATTGTTATCTTATTCATTATTTTATTATTTATTATGTATTGATAGAGCGAAATACCGAATTTCAATAAGCAGAACACGAAATCAAAATGGCTCTAAAATAATTATGAAGGTCCAATTACATTAACATCATCATGACTTTAAAAGACTTAATATATGTCTGTCTTTATTTATTTAGAAAGAAGGATAAAGACAGATGTTTAAGTCTCACTTAAAGCCAAAATAACGTTGATGCAACCAGTCTGAAGTCACATTTTATTTAATTACGATACAGCACAGAAATTAAGAAAGTGTAGTGACATTTACAATATCAATGTAATATTGTTGGAATGATTTGTAGAATTTATTTTAAGAATGTATGTATATCGCGTCTCAAAATATTACCAAAAATACAAAAAATTTATTATTATATCTGAGTATCTATATAAAATTGTAACCAATACTCTTGATAGTTCAAAAGTTATTTAATTTTTTGTTAACCTTGATTTTTTTTATCGCGTTTTGTAGTAGTTGTCTGCAAATTTGATAAGTTCATAGCATTACGAGAATTAAATCAAATTAATAAAACTCCAATAAATATTCGTGCAAAAGTACATTTGGACCCGTTTATTCATTTAAGTTATTTACCTGAAGTTGCAGCAAAATATATATATATATATATATAATCATTCCGTTGCACGAAGCTATTATAGACCAAATTATTTGTTTTATTTTTAGTTAATATTTTAAGATGTATTTATGATAAAAAATAATTTTTTGACAAATATATATTGATTTTTTTTGACTGATATTTTTATCTGATATTACATAGCCAAATCCTTAACATTTCATTTCAACTTTATCGTGACTTTGTATTTTTGCTCGGAATGGGATTCACGCGGCAGGTGTCACGCAGCGAGGAGGGAGGGAGGGAAGAAACTTACCCATACAGCACACTTTATTTGAGAGATATCCTGAGAACGTCCTCTGAACGTTTTTAGGACATTCCTGGGAAATCCGTGCTGTATGGGAAACCGATGTTTGCTCTCGTGCATTGATTTTGCTTTTACCACACGAGTTCCAATATGCTACGCAAATCATACTCGTATCTGTCCGACACGAAACGACGCGACGGCTACCGAATACGATATCTAGCTATAGCTCCGCTTCGCGAAGCTTCGAAGCCGTGCGCGCGCGCGCGCGCACCGAATTGTCTCGACATTGACAACACGAAGATGCGCACGAGTGAGAATCGCTGGCTTCGCTTCGCTCGCTCCAACTCGCCGGCTCCGCCATCTTGCGCGTAATAATACGGGAGCGCCAGAGTTTTCTACGCCGTACGCGCGCGTCCAACCCCTGAAAAAAAAAAAAACAGAGAGCAAGGCGCTCGACTCTTCTCTCCTTCGTGAGGAGGGCAGTCGACCCACTCGGCGTGTTTACGTTAGCCCTTGTCCCTCACGTGGCCGAAATTGTTAAGACAAGGACGCCGAGCGACGCTGGTTCATGTTCCGCCGCTTGTTTTCGGCGTTGGGATGCGCGCGCAGGCCGTTCTCCGGTCACGTACGCCACAGGCCGACGCGTATCGCGCAGCCTCGGCAAGTCGGGATCGGAATCATTCGGAACGGCGGTTGACGGGGCGAGGAACGCGTATTAGAAATGAACGGGTGATTCGGTGAGGAGGTAAGAAGATAGTCGAGCGCGGAGCGTGCCGGAGTGGCGCGCACATGAATGTCATGAATACGGAATAATGTATATGCATTAATCCATCCATCCATCTCTCTCTCTCTCTCTATTGTATATTAATTACGGTTGCTTGGATTTGAGGACTTTGTGTTTATATCGAGCAGATACCAGCACCGGCGTGAAGTTTGCCGAGAATTCGAAACTAGCCGCTCGCCTCGTCGGCCTCGTCGCGCACCCCCTTCCTCTCCTCCTCTTCTTTGTGTGCTCCCTCCCTCCCTCTCTCTACATAACTCTAGTTAGAACCATGATATAAGAAGACCAGGTGAACCAATTTCAAGGATGTACAGTCATTCGCGAAATAATGACATTTATGACCAATCAGAATTGGCATTTTATAAGTTAATATAAGGCCGCTGTTAGAAACCATTTGCCATTAATAAGAAATTTGCCCCATTATATTTATAGCTGTCGTTATGCGCGCGCAATGTTAGACTTGGTCTTTTTATATCATAATTGGAGAACTACACAAATATATGCGTATATTATTCTCTTAATTACTTATTTGTTTCTCACTTAAAAAATACTTCTGTCACGTATCTGATTATTTATAATAATGCTATAATTTAATTATGTATCATGCTTTAACATTTGAAGATACATAAGTCCCTAATTCTTAGGCCTAGTGTTTCATTATCTGGTTAAATTTAATTGTAGTTCAGATTAATGTTATTACTTGGTGATATAAAAATTGTGTTCTTTCAGCTACGATTAATCATTAAATTAATAGTTTTCTAGTGATAATTTTAAAAGTTACTACAAAATCATCAGTTTAGTGATAGTTGATAGGAAAAATACAATTTTTACGTTATCATCAGGTTAAGCCTAACCATAATTAATCAGAAAATGAAAAACCTATAACCTTAACGATGTTCTTACATTGTCATTGTGCAATTTTTTTTATCGTTTATAAAACCTGCATGTCGTAACGACAGTGACACTGACACTATCATTAAGAGTTATCGAAGGGAGGTCATAGTAGAGTGCATAATAAATAACGATTATGTCCATAGAAAGAACAGTTTTATTGAAATATAATATTTAAAAACAAATATAAAAACAGATCTAAAAATAATTTTATTGAACTATTAAAATAATTATTGTAGCTGCTCAAGCTAGTTGTTAAAAAGTCAAAACTTTTTACAGCATTGCTCATCATGTTTGAATTTCATGTATAAATTATTTTGATGACCTAACGTAATTATTTTTAGATCTGTATCTATCTAAATTTTTAAGTACCTGAGCAAAATCAGTGAGCACGTTTAAGTCAACAAAGCGGTAAAGTCTGCTCGCTGAGCAATAATGAAATACGATTGATTGGATCCATAGGTTAAAACCAATTATATTCATTTACTCGACAAACATGCCTAGCCGCTTTACTGGCTTCAACTCGCTTATTTTTTCCATGTTCTATTCTATTCTCTTTTTTTCTTTTTTGCACAAGTATCTATCCTTGTGTCTACGCGTGATACGTACTCGTTGCGATCACGGCGACTTGTTGCCAGTAAAGCAGGATTGGCATTACGCCAATTTAACCAACGAACAGCGTGTATTGTTACGCAATTAACATAATGATTCAATAACCCAGAAGCCTTTCTTTCTTTTCACTTTTCCTCTTCTCTCTCTTTCTCTCTCTCTTCTTGCTCCTTTTCTACTGTTGTCGTGTTTATGATCTTCGTTAATCTACATCATCCTGAAAATCCGCTGCTTTCTTCTTTCGCCCTGCTGATTGTAAAGCCGATACCAGACTAGATAACAACTTAGAATTGGAGTCAAAATATAATCAATCAGGAAACAAAAACCAATATTAAGCTTAGTGAACTTTGCTTTAATTTTAGTCAAATTCATATAAAAATTCAATCCTATAATTCATAGTCTGATATGTGGAAGGAATTTGAAAGTGAAAAGACCCTGCGTAAATATAGAAAACGTGGCTTCAGTCAAATTGACTGAAACTGTGATTTTGTAA